CGAGTCGCGAAGTATAATCGCTGTTATGAAGAAGTAGGTCTCAACGTGATTCATTCCACTCATAACACTTCATTGAAGTGGTTAGGGTGCGTTTATACTTTTCGTCAGCGTTCCAAGCGACTAGGAAAGCATAGGAGGTATCGATCCAGCGATTCCGGCGTATGCCAACGTTTCGAGTGTACGGCCTATGTTTTCAGCGTTGAGACTGACGCAGACTATAAACGCACTCTTATGTGACGCGTACGCAACGCGGAACCAGCCACGCCCACTTCAATGTCGTGCTGTTAGTGGAATGACGTCAGAGTAGCTGTATCTATCATGCACTCACCAGATTCCTCGAGACAGACTTGCTCGACTTGAGCTTGGCCCTCGACGTTATTAGCAGTTGCAGGTAGCTGGACATCAGAAGCGGTACTGCAAATTCAAAGGCAAATTTTGCCAACTGCGTCACCGAATACAGGTCTGGCTTCACGTAACACCGATAGGTATGGATCAGCATGATATACTGATCGCTATCAATCTCATCCTTGCGGATCAGTTCGAGCTGAAGAAGTCAGAATTAAAAATCCATCGAAAAAAACCCATGAAAGCAGGGTTGCGCACCTCTGCAGCCAATCCCTGAGGAATGACGATGAGCACAAACGAGCAGTGTAAGGAATGAAAAAGCCATAGCTGTCAGCACTCCTTCAAAACGCGTTAGACGATTCGGTCGGCGAAGGTACATTGCCTAAACACTCCTTATATATTAGAAGGTAAAAGCCAAAACCTCAGCCTCATCACTCACCACAAACGCGTGAAGTGCCGCTATAGTCCATGGTATCACTACTCGCCCGGCATTCGTGAGTATATGATGCGCATGACAGGACAATCGTCCAAACATCCATATTCGTACCAATTTCTCAAGTATTACCGACGGCAAACCCAAAGGAACCTAAAATCATCTCTGTACTATCTGAAGAGCACGGCTTCTCGGCGACCCATCTTATTCTGAACCACTGAGGACGCGTTTTCCACCGACTAAATGGCCGCACTTTGCCAGTGTACACATATTTCTTGGGCAGCGTTCAGACTTTTGCTACGGCAGCGCTTTGGTCGCGCGTTGGACGCGACCGATGCAGTCAAATCGCATCGATCGCGCCAAATGCGCGACCGAAGCGCTGCCGTAGCGAAGTCTGAACGCTGCCTTATCTAAGAGATGAGGAGGACAGTTCAAAAAGGTAGTTAAGCGGCTCTAAATGGGTACGTCCGCATCAAGGTGCAGGCTATGTTTACAGCGACCTGCTCGCTGCGGATCCTGGGCTTGTGGAAAAGGCTTGGTAAAAACACGGCCCCAACCCGTTTCCCACTAACTGTGTCGCTTTGCCTCGCTTCAACTACAGGGTTGGCCATAATTATAGCGACAAGACTTGCTGCAGTTAGCGTACATTCTATCGCGCACACAGCGCGCCAGTTTTATGGTTTTTTCAACCTCATTATTTTTTCTAACTCCTGTTATCGTTCGTCTGCACAAAGCCGGCCGCCCACCCGCCACGATCGCTAAACAGCCTCGGCATCCACCGCAGCGTCGTGTATCGCACACTCCAACGTTATCGAGACCTTGGTGGACTCCAAGACCGCCGAAGAAGTGAAGACCTCGTACTGCTCGCACGCCGAAGGTCGTCGAGGCCGTCAGAAAGCGGATAGCAAGAAACGCGACTCGGAGCATCTCGACGATGGCTCGCGACATGGGAATCTCGCGGAAGTCAATGGAAAGGGTCGTCCACGAAGACCTTAAGATGTACCCCTACCGTACTCGGAAGGCTGCTATCCTCAGCGCCTCGAATCAGCAGGCGCGAGTCAAGAAGTGCCGACAGCTTTTGCTTCGGACGCGCAACAAGGGCCACCATTCGATCGTCTTTTCGGATGAGAAGCTCTTCACCGTCGAGCAGCAGTTCAACGCTCAGAACGTCAGAGTGATCGCAAGGAATGCCGAGGAAGCCGACAAGAAGGGAAGAGTCGTTCACCGGGCCGCACACCCTGCCCAAGTCATGGTTTGGGCAGGGGTGTGTGCCTCGGGGAAGACGCCGTTGATATTCGTCGACCCCGGCGTCAAAATCAACAAAGATTACTACCTGAAGACGATTCTGGAAGATGCTCTACTCCCGTGGGCGAATTCCCACTTCAACGGCCGCCCGTGGACATTCCAGCAAGATTCGGCGCCCGCCCACAAGGCCAAGGTCGTCCAAGCGTGGTGCAAGAGCGAACTCCCCGACTTCATCTCGACAGAAGAATTGCGCCGGCACGTGAGCGGATTTGGAACCCACTGGACTATAACTTGTGGTCCTACCTTGAGAGCAAGGCCTGCGCCACTCCTCAGCCCAATTTGGATTCTCTGAAGGCAGCGCTCATCCGAGAATGGGACGAAATCGACGACGCACTCCTGCGTCCGGACATCGACGCCTTTCCCAAGCTGCGTCCGGTCATCGACGCCTTTCCCAAGCGACTCCGCGCTGTCGTCCGTGCCAAAGGTGGCCGAATCGAGAAGTAACTTATGATTGTTAATGTACCAGTTGTTACTTAATAAATGTTATGTTCATGACTCGTTTGCACTTTTGCTTTCTGAGATATAATGTGAAAACCTTGTCGCTATATTTATGGCCAACCCTGTATAGGAAAGTGGGCTAGCGTCACGCTAACCCAGCCTCCCTGACACCTCCCAGCATCCGCAAGGAAATGGGACTAGCGCCGGGTTCACGAGAGAATGTGAACAATCCTTCACTCCTTTCTGCCCTGACTGCTTCAGTCGGAGATACAGGTGTCCTCGTATACGGCGCTTGCAATGGTGTATGAAGGCACTCCCTCTCCATACCCAAGATAGGGGCGTAAATGTGTATCCGGTAGTATAACTGCCTTTCTACCCCAATAGAGACACCATTTGATACTGACTGGTAGAAGTAGCCACAGTTTGGTATACTGAAACCTTCGCGTGTGGGGGGGGGAGGGACGAGACTACTTGTGCACTGAAATTACCATTATAAGGATGGGATTGCTGCATTTATAGGCTCTTCCCCTAAGCTCTTTCATAAATCTCAGGCAAAAGCCTTAGTCTCTGTTGCAGTAATCCCAGATTTTCACATGGAGTATCTCAGTGTTATTGGCGTCTCATTTTTACATGCAATTAAAATTTAAGAAAGAGCACTTACTAAAAAATTGGTGAAGAGAAGAACTGCTATGAAACACTGTGGTGGAATCTTCCACGTCAACCGTCTGGTGTATATCTAAAAACGTAGTTATTTATGAAAAGTTCGTGATAAATTTGTACAAGAAATATTCATGAATGTATAAAGCTGGGCACTTTTGTTTAGCCAATCGAACGTTCCCGGACTCAACGACCGCTGGTCTCCCTACCACAACCCATATATCCTGAGGATGGAGAGGGCGTGGCTGCATCAGAACATGGCGGCGCTGAGCTTTTGCTGGGACATTGCTGTTTTGAGGCCGCTGTAACCATGTTTTTGCCCAGCACAAGACACGATTACAGGTCTTCAAGTGAAAATGTTACATGAAAAACGAATTTTGCGCTGTTTCTGAACGTACTTCATTGCTGTTCATGAGAAGTACGTGGGCACGCCCTCGCCATTTCACGATATGGCTTGCACATAACATACATGACAACTAGAAACTATTTTCTTCGGTTTCTTAGGACCATCCAGCTTACAATTGCGCCTTACTGGTTCCCCAAAATCAGGTCAATAGCTCCTATTCTGTTACTGAGGGGGAGAAACATCAAAAAAAGCGGTCCGATGGTGTCAGAAAAGCAATTTTCCAAGCTACTTCGAAGGATCTGAATGAGGTTCCATCAGTACCTGTAGAACAATCTGACTAGCATTGCCACAGATAGCGACTGTCAAGCATCCGACCAGTGCCACAGAAATTGCCAACGTAACCGACGACGGTTCTTCTGTGGGAGGCAGGAACGGCACCACCGGTGGACCATCACCACCACCTTCCGTACTTGTATTCAACATGTGTTCCTCTTGCATTCTGGAAAATTAAATAAATATCAAACTTTAACTGCCATAATGGACGATTATCGCGACAAAGCGACACAAAGAGAGGTATTGGTCACAGGCAGTACCTCGTACACTTGGAGAAATCGATAAATGCCTATCAGAAGAGCAGGAAAATAGTAAAACCGCTTGTTCTTCTGAATCGCACAAAGGGTAGAGTCCTTCGCTGCGTACGCTGGAGTGGTCTGGGTTTGGCGCTGCGCCAGCACGTTTTCTACCAGCTGTCGTCGCTTATCGGCTCCGGGATTGGTGGAGTACCGGCTGGCTCCACGCCATACCCAGCCTACTTTGCGCGACTCATCATGCAGCGAATAAGATCGTATCTAGCCTTTTGCATGGATTCGGCTAGTTTCAAATTATCTCGATCAATACATATCTTTCTCTTTACTTCGTTTCTGTGAGATGGCAGAGTGAGCACTGCCTGAGCAAAGAAGAACATCGACGG